CATAATAATTTGAAATTTTCCTATGTTTTCATCTGGTTTGATTTGATTGTTTATTTGTTTTTTCTTCTGTCTCGGTCTTTAGATTTATCTATTTGTTTGGTTTGTTGTAAATCACCATTATTATCAACACCCCAAAAATAACAAAACCAAAATAAAATAAAAATCCGTTATAATGACGAGCAATTGAGCAACAAAAAAAGAAAAAAATGACTTGAAATGTAAATGACATTCATAAATTAACTTTTTTGGAGTAGTGGAATGATGATAATGATCATCATCATCATCATCATGATAATGATATAAACTACTGAATATACAATGATAATGATGATGGTAATAATAATAATCATTTTCAATAGATTGTTTTTGAGGTTTTGTATTATTATTATTATCAAAGCAAGGAAAACAAACTAAATTCATTTAATTTAGTTTCTGTGTGTCTAAGTAAATGATGATGACACTTTGATTTACATCAATTGACCACACACACACACTGACTGACTGAATGACTGACTGAATGAATGACTGAAATACAAACAAACCACCCTCACACAAACAGTTTAAATGTGTTATAATAAAATGAATAAAACGAGCGAAAAAGATAGTGATATAGAAAGAAAATGTTATCACATATCACATATACCAATGACATTTATTTTAGCATCCTGAATTTAGTCAACAAAACAAAAAAAAAAATTCAATGATACTAATGGTCAGCAAGCTACAAAAAAAAGCAAGGGAAACAAAGAATATATATTTTTTCCTGGCTAAAGATAATGATGATTACCATTTTTTTTTTTGATGTGTGAGGAAATCTAAATAATGATAATAAAGTATATGGATTGTGTATGTATATCGTAATCATTATTTGCTTGCTTACTTTACTTGTATTTTGGTCTAGTGACCATAAAATGCAATGTATTTTTCAAAATTAAAGAATCTTTTAATTTAATTTTATTGTTTTAGGCATTATGTTTGTTTATTTTTTTGTTGCATCATCATCTCCGAAATAGAAAATCATTTCCATATCCATTGTGGATAGGATCCAAAGTTCAATATGGAGAAATATTATTATTCTCAATCATCATTCGATTTTGTTTTTAAGAAAAAAAAAAGATTTTTTTTTTGTTTGCACCAACGATAATAATAATATCAATATAACTATGGCAACAAATAATATCGTCATCACCGATGATGAAGGTCAAACAATTGCACTTATCCTTGATGATAATGATGATGAGTTTATATGTTTTTTTTAATGAAAGAATTTTTAATTCAATTTACCAGTGAACGAAATCAATTATAATGATGATGACATCTGGATCAAAGTGTGTAATACAAAACATACAAAACAAACGAGAGATAATAGTGGAATTAAATATGCAAATTAAACAGAAAATTCTTTCCAAGGAATATTCTTTTTTTTCTGCGTTACTTTGCTGCAATAATGTCCTAAATATACAACAAGATTAAGTTGATATTGACTGTCCACCATTTTCCATTTTTTTTCTTCAATTCAAACAAAACAAAACGAAAAAAAAAATTTTCCACATTTTCATCGTTGATTGTTTAACTAATTAAAACAGGATTAATATGGATCAACAAACAGAGAAAAATTTGAAACAATGTTACCAATTTCAATTAAATGGACGCAAATCAGACAGGCAAAAAAAACATTATGGAACTAAAATAGACAAACTGGGAATATAAAAAAATGGATCATTCCAACTGACCAATTCATTCATTCATAAAGTAAAGGAAAAAACCTGTGACTCAAATCACCAAAATCAAATATAAATAACTACTTTTCTGGTTTTCCCTATCATTTCACATGATGATTCTTTGTTATTTGCATATTTGCAATACTCATCATCATAATCAAAAGTTTTTTTTGTCTATCTTCTGTATTCTTTCCCTATCTCTTTTTTTGTGTGTGTGTATTTAGAAAGTTTATTTTCCTCATTTATTTCAAGTCACGTGTCATTTATATTGGGATGCCAATATGGATTATACAAACAACAGACACACACATATTTATATTTCTTTCTTTCACTGTTTTTTACTTTTATAAAATGCGAAACAAAAAAAAATCATATGATATATCATACATAAAGGAAATTTTATTATTATGCAATATTCGGAAAGACAAGACAGAAAGAAATTAGACAAACTGAGAAAAATCAATAATCAATGAATCAATATGTGGATCATATGACAAACAAAAAAATTTGAGGTGAAACAAACCTAAGAGAATCAAGATTTTATCAAATTCATTGACTGGCATTGAGTCTATTTGAAAGAATTACAAAGTTTCTTTTTATTTTTATTATTATTATTATTTACAATGTTGTCACATGCAATGATGATGATGATGCTGGAACTTTTTTCATTTACAATTCAGAAAAGAAAAAGAAAAAAGAAATTTCTTCTGGGTAATAAAATCATCATCATCCATAATATGTTGTGGACATTTGTACAGAATTTTATTTCAACTGGAATTTATGGATTGAATCAAACAAACAAAAAAATGCAACCAAAACAACAACAACCAACAATCAACCATAAATGAATGTAAGAGGGAGAAAAAGCATCCAACAACAATTGTATTTGACACTTGATGTGTTTTCATTTGGTTCTGGTCAATTGGGAATATTATTATTATTTCTGGATGCATCTTGTGACCTTCATTGTCTGGCTTTCTTTTTTTTTTTTTTGGTCAAATATTTTTCTGGTTTGGTAGTAAAAAAAAGAGGAAAATATTCTTTTTTTTCCATTTCATTTTATGATGACAATCATTACAAACCAAACCAAACCAAACAAAAACCCAAACACATCACTTCAAACTAAAATAACCCGAATAAACAACATTATGATGATGATCATCATCATGGGACAAATCAGAAATGTATAAAAAAAAATTTTGTTAAGAATAAAAAAAAAGGGAGCAGAAACAAAATTATGACCCGAAAAACAGCCAGCTGTTGTTGTCGAAGAATGAATGTTGCTGGAATTTTTTTTTCCTTTTTTATTATTTCGTTTTTGGCGTTTTTTGAACATCGTAAACATATCAAATACCAAAAACATAAACATCATTGTCATCATCATCATCATCATCATCATATTTTTTTTTGATTGTCAATTTAGATCATAAGATCATTGAATGACCTGATACAATGTTATACATTGTATCGAAAATTTAATCTAGTTGAATGGCCAACAAAAACAAATTGAGGCTCCTTTTTTTTGAAACTTTAAATTGTTTTTTTTAATGATGATGATGATTTTTATTTATTCATTCAACGTTTTCTGTCTGTTGATTTTCGCTTCTTCCTACAATTCTTGTGTTAAATAATGATAATAATAAAAATAAAGGGTTCTTTTTCGTTTCTTTTTCGCTTGATTATGTAATCATTATCATCATCTGTGAATATAGAACAAAACAGATGTAATGAAAGAGTTGTTCGAGGGAAAAAAAGTTACCTTAATTTCTATTATTCAATTACACAGATGTGTTTAATTGGGAATTAAATTAAGATGTGAAATATAAATATCCATTATCCATTACTCATTATCATCATGTATTTTTTTTCTGTTCTTTGGAAATGGCATGAGAATCATATGATTTTACAGTTTTAAAATTAGAAAAAAAAACTAACTACAAAAACAACAGCAATCAATAGATAAACGAGATTTTTGTTTTCAGATTTCTTTTATTGTCAAAGAAAAAAAAAATCCATAACAAAGATTTTTATCTATTATTGTTTTTGTTTATTAGGCGACAAGCAGTCTAAGAAATGAAAATTTTAATCAACAAAATCATTTCAATGTTTGTCATTTTGTTTGACACCCAAAAGATTATGATTAATTAAATAATTATGTGTTGATTTTTCTCCCAATGGTAATCCAAAACGATGATAATCAGGCCATCAAATTAATAAGGATGATGATAATGATCAAGCGATTGATGCATCCAAAAAAACAAAAACAAAAACAACAACCATAATAATAATAATAAAAACAATAATTTTGTTTTTCTCGTGAAACTGATGCAATCATCATTATATATTGACAAATTTTTATCGAACAACATTCATGAATATATTTCTATGATGTAGAAGTACATTTCTGCATGTTTGTTTGCTTAGATGGTAACGGAAAACAGGTAAATTTTTTTTCAATTAGGAAGAGAATCAATTTTTTATCACTCAAAAAAAAATCGCAGCATAATGACCGCGTAATCCGCTAGATTCTCCCTCCAAAAAAACAAAAACTGGTGATACATCAGTTTTCTTATCAGGTAACCATTGGAAACAACTGATTGATTGACTAATCGATTATTACGACATTATCAATGTTCCAACCCACTAACTTGAGCTAACTGTTATTTGTTGTTTGTTGACTGTGTGTGTTTGTGTTATTCACAAATGTATGTTTTTTTCAAAATGATCTACCATTCGTGAATTTTTTTTTTAGTAACCACCCTTGAATGTTTCGGATTGGTTGAATGATGATAATGTTACCACCCATGTTCATTACAGAAATGTATTTAAAAATGATCATATCATTAATGCGCATGTTTGAAAAGAATAGATTTTTTTTGGGGGTATATAAACAGTCCGAATCCATGTCAACAAACATCATTATCGATTCGGTAGAGCATCAAACAACAACAGCTACATTCAACTAACTATTCCGTTAGGAATTATCAAAGAATTTGACTTTGTTTTTTTTTCTTGTTTTCAGTTTTGTGGTGGAAAAAAATCAACAACAACAATTTTTTTCAAAAGTGAATAATGTGAATGATTTTGTTGAATTATTTAATCAATATCCCAAAATAGAAAATGTTTCATTTTTTTCAATCACTGCCATTATTATTAATTGTTTAGAATTGCTGGAAAACAATCATCAATTATAAGATTAATGTTTTATTAATTAATTGTAATTGTTATAATCACTATATATACGAACTAGCTTATGCTATTAAATATTAGCCGATTATCAATCCCCGTTTATTTAATAATATAATTGAATCTTTTTTTTAAATATAAACATTCAATTCTTTTTCAAATCATCATATCAATCACGCTAAATTTAATAATTAAAAATGTCGTATCAACAGAATGATTCCAGTGATGATGATTTAAATCATTCATCTAAATCAATTAAAATAAATAACATAATTAATGGGGATGATAATGTACTTCAGCAACATTGTCGAAACTATTTATATGATAGTTATTTAAATATAACATCAATTCTAAATTCAACTAATAATGATGATGATGTTCAACAACAACAACGATCAAAAAAAATATTTGGTGATCATTTGGAGAAGATGAGTGAATTATGTTTCGATCAATTGATCGGCTCGCCACCAGCATCACCATCAACAGCATCAACATCATCCATTAATCAATGTATTTGTTCAGTTGCCCAATTATCCGATGATGAATTTAATTTAATCGATAATGTTGATTTAAATAATGAACAACAACAGCAATCATTGAATCAATCATTGTTCATTAATAGTAACGAAGATAACGGTAAGTTTAGAATTTATCAACAAAAAAAAATCGTTACCTATTTTGTTCGATAGATGTCGTTATTATCTATGTCAATTTTTTGTTTTATATTTTTTATACAGAATTTTTTAAAAGAGGCCAAAGCAAATATAATACCATTTAAAATCAATTGAATTCATAGCAAGCTATTGGCACATTATCTTAATTACTAAAATAATAATAATTCTATTAAAATAGCGTTTTTAATACAAAAAAAAAAATTTTATTTTTTTATATAAAATTTGCGAAAATTTCAAGCGCGTATTTAATTGTGTTTAGTTTTTAGAAACAATCGCTTCAATCAATACATTCTTGCTTTTATTTGATCGTTTCAATGTTCATTATTAGCCAACTCCGCATTCTGGTTATAAGATGTCAATAAATTGTTAGCAAGTTCTGTTTTTAAGAATTTATGCAAAGATTTGGCTGAAAAAAATGCGAATATTCGATAATCAACGTTAATCAAAATCGGACTTTGAAAAATTTCTGCCAATGAAAAATTGATTTATTAATTTCTCGTTTTTTTTTCTCTCTCTCTCTCTCATTTGAATAGATGAAATTTTTCCAATGAATAATGATGATGATAATAATGAAAACAATATTAATCAATCGGATCAACCACCAAGACTAAGAAATAGCAATACAATTGGCTATATGACTGATATGCACGAAGAATATCAAACAATTCCATATATACAACAATCAATGTTGCATATGGGATTTTTTGAAGGTAATTATTATCCAAATAAATTATGGACACAAACAAATGAACAAGAAATTCAACGTGAACAGATTGAAATAATGGATTTTGTTGATTCATCAAATCAAATTATTTCAAATGATAATGTTAATGATGAAAATGAAGATGATGATGATGATCAACAGCAACAACAACAAATTCTTGATAATGAAAATCTAGTCAATATTAAACAATCTGCATTAAAATTACGACGAATGAGTAATGAATTTCAACAACAACAACGACAACATTCATCAATGATAATGATGAATAATGTAATCAATCTGGTCAAACAAACATTAATAGATTTTCGTACATATATAATCGAAATAATGTTTGAAAAATATTCACATTTTTGTAAAAATATTCTTCCATATTTTTCAGATTATCGTTGATGTTGATGATAAACCCTTACACAAACACACTGAATGACAATCAATAATGTTGTGTTACAAATTCAAAAAAAAGAGAGAAAAAAATCACTTCCAGAAAACTTAAAACTACCGAATCACCATAATGTGCAATTGTCAAGTCAAAATAGTCGAAAACAACAACAACAGAAAAAAATGTTTCCATCTAAAAACCATCGACATCCGAAAAAAACAACAACAACAAAATCCGAAAAATATTCTGTATAAATTCTATGTAAATTCCCTACAAAATTTTGTAAAAAAACCATAAAATTTTCTGTATTTTAAAATATAAAAATTATTTTCTGATTTTCATATAATTTTTTCTATAAAAAAAATAAAAATTCCGATTTTTTTTCTACTCAAATAAACTTGTCAAATTTATCAATCAACGTGTGTTTGTGTGTTTCTGTGTGGATTTTTCGGGATGCACATTTCAAATTCTGTCCCCAAATTTTAAAATGGATTCAGCGAAAAGACAAAAAAAAATATTGAAATTCATTTTGAAACAAAAATCAATTTGAAAATGGAATAGAGAAAATGTCAATAAACATAATACACACATATCAGGTGTCGAATTTGTTTAGTTGTTGTTGTTAGTTATTTGGGATTTGTTGAAATGGATTTTTTTGTTGGATAAATTTCAATAATGTTTTTTTTAACACTAGCTGATGGAAATGGACTTTATTATTGACTAATACTAACTGGAACGAAACAATTGATTGAATGACAAACATGAAAATTTCATTATCGAGAAACCCTATTGAATCAAGGAAAAGAAAAACAAATTTGAAAAAATAAATTTTAAAATTTTAAAATAATAACAAAAATGGAATCGAAGAGAGAGAGAGAGAGAGAGAGAGAGAGAGAAGGAGAAAACTTTTACTTCTTCTGCTGCATTATCCTATTTTATTTGAAAAACATTGTTTTTGTTCCATCAAACAAATTTTTGTTTTGCCCTGAAATTCATTCAGAATATTGACTACAGAAACATTGAACATGCACAAAAAAAAAACACAAAGTGATTGAAAAAGGTGATGAAACGAAAAAACATACTGGCTGTTCTTTCATCTGGTGACATTCCTTTTGAATCATTCAATCATTTTTTGGTCACTCTCTGTCACTTTTGGTCGAAAAAACGTAACAACGTTCATGACATTCGATAAATGATTTATGAGACTAATTATATACGACGATAGACGATCAAGAAGTTGATTGACCATTTTTTCATTTCATTTCATGGTTGTTTATTAGATAGTGGAGAAAAATAGGTCTAGAAATAACGTTGGTTACCGAAAAAAATGAATCCACAAAAAAAAACGAGAGATTGATGGATGGATTTTTATCGATAACATCAACAACATAGTGAAATATGTCCATTTAATCTAATCAAATCAAATCAATTTTGGTTGTTGTTGTTGTTTTTTTTGCAGGGTGATTTTCATTCATTCATTCAATCAAGCAAAGAAGCAATATGAACATAGAAATACAGAAGCAAAAACATATTAAAGTCAAAAAAGGTGACCAATCATCAATCAAATATTGTGCAAAATGAAAAAAAAACAAAAATATCAATATAAAGCAAATACGCACCAAAAAAATCAAATACTTACTTACTTACATCATCATTAAATAATTGATGCAGATGTTTTTTTTTGGTGTGGATAACGAATCATCCACGAATAGAATTGAAAAAGAATTGGAAAAGATTCTTGAAAATATTGAAGAAATACTCAAGAATGGCAAAAAACACCCACTTTACAATGGAAAAAATGATGATTTTCAAAGATGATTAAAGCAATTCATCAAAGAAATCCAAAAAAATGTAACAGATTTTTAATCCAAAAAATTTTGTATTTTTTTTTCTCAAGAATTGAATCAAACAAAACATTGTATCCCGTTTTTATTTCTTTCTTTCCATTAGATATTTATCATTTATTTTAGAGGATTTTGATAAGCAGTAAAGGCAAAGATAATGGCCAATCTTGACATTTAAGATTTATTCGTTAACCTTATTTTGTGTTATATATATTGACTTAAGACATTGTTATCACGCATATTGAAATCTTCAATAATAAAAAAACCTCAAGATTATGGTTGTCGACTACTATACGTTGTTACACTTATAAGTTGTTATGTTGTGGGTCCAGATGTGTGCAATCATAAATGATGATTATAATAATCATTTTTACAAGTAAGAAAAAAAATCCATTATGATGATGGTAATGATAATTGCCAATTAAAGCCCAAACCAAACAATCATAATTTTTTTCTTTAATACTTTTTCTGAGTATTGGTTATGATTGAATGAATGAAAGACTGTCTGGATACAATGTATCATTTTTTGGATTTGAAGTAAAAAATTCGCTGTTCGTTATTCGTTACAATGTAGTCATGTTTTTCCGATGAAAAATAATAATAATGAACCAAACAATGACGTAGTGATGAAATGAATGAAGAAAAACTCTAAGTACTTTTCAAAAAAAAATAATTTATGATCATCGTACAAAATGGTCCAGAGAAAAAAAATTTCAAAGGATTATTCAAACAAAAATGTAAAATTTATGAATACTTTCTTTATATTCATTTCTTTTCAACTAACTAAACTAATCTAAATGTTTTTCATTCATTTTAGATTCACTTTATATCGAGATTTTCACACTTACAAGCAAACAAGCAAACCAAAGAGAGAATTATTATTTGAATGAAACAACAAATTGAAGAATTTATTGCTTTCCTGGCAACAACAACAACAACAACAATAAAAAAAAACATATGAATCGATCGATCATCAAATGATGATGATCAATAATGTTTGAATATATAATCATCAACATTGATCCAGAGTTACTTCATTCATTCACTCACTTCAAATACTTGATTTGATTACTTTTTTTTCGGGTGTCGCACGCGTTCTTTATCGATCATCATCATCATCATCAATAAGTAAAGAATATTCAATAAAAGACAACAAACAAATGATTTTATTATGCAACATGAAAAAACAACAAAATTCATTACAAAAGTATCTTTGATTCAATATGGTCCATCACTTGGATGATGAATTGATGATGATTCTGGTGATTCAATGGTTTTCGGTAGTTGTTGAACAAATTTGAAGTAAAATTAACCTAATGAAAAAAGAAACTAAAGAAAAATAAGAAAACAGTATTGATTAATTATCGATTTTTTCAATCTTTATCATTGTGTTATTGCAAATTGAATGAAAAAAAAACTTTTGACATTTTCAACAAACAAACAAACAAAAAAAATGTAAATTTTTTGTTTCAAAATCATTTAGTCGAATAAACACGTGACCAATATATAGAAAATTATTCAATTGAAATCAAACAATTACCATAGTAACAACTATTATCATCATCGTTACTTGTTTTCATTCAATGAACATCTTCAACAATTTTGATTGTTTTGAACAATGATAATATTCTCATCGATTGCGAGAGAAAATAATATCTATCCCACATTTTATGGAGTAGGATTGACTTGAAAAGGGCATCATCATTATTATTTTTAGTTTCCTGGGCCAAAAAAAATATTGAATTTTGAAAAATCAAATTCAAAAAAAATTGGAAAAAAAGATTATCCATTGAAATCAGACAAACACACACACGATCAGGTAAAAAACGTTTACATTTTTTTTTTCGGGTTTTTGTTTTGTTTTGGAACAGAAAAAGTTTCATTTTACAAAAACAGAAGCAGAAGCAATGGACAATCATCATCATCGTCGTCATAATAAATGAACAATGATGATGATCTCGAAATAATAATAATAATAAAAAAGAACAAGAGATCTTTGAATGCAAACACGTGACAACCACTGAATATTGACTGATATCAATGAATTTTTTTTTGTTCATCTCAAAATGTCACGTGTTTATCTAGAAATTACGTATACCGACAATCGACAATCGACAATCGACGACAATCGATCAACCGATCGATCGATAGATTTAATAAATTTTTTTTTGACCAATAAGATTTTCAATTATAAAAAATTGAAAATGTTTTTCATCATTTTTATATATCGATTGAAAATCATGAGAAATATTTTTTCTTTTGAAAAAAAATGTTTTATTTTTAGAATCAAACAAAATATCCGGACAGTAATGTTCATTTTTTTCGGGGTTCCATATTTCAATTAAAATTCATTTGGATTTTCACATTGTAAAATCAAATAGACCCTTGGATCATTTTTTTCACTGGTTCCAAAAATATATAATTTATCAAGAGGCTAATGTTGTTTTTTTTGAAATCCATTTGTTATTCTAAGACCAAATGACCGGAAAACGGGATTATCATTTGATAATATCCAATTTTTTTTGAGAATTTTCCCGAAGATTTCAGGAAATGATCATCATCATCATGATCGGTTATTCGATATTCCAAGGAAAAAAAGAGAAAGAGAAATTTGCTTTTTTTCCAATGAAAATACAAATCAAATGGACATGACCGGAATATTGATGTTTCTTTTTTTCAAATGAAAAAAAAACGGTAAACGACCATCATTATCAGAATCAGAATATGCAACAGCAGATTGCTTATAACAATATTCTTTTTAATAGTTTTTTTTTTGGTACAAAGTTAAGCCTTTCGATTTGTTCGATAAATATATATCTAAAACACGTGTGTGCATGTTGATGACATTTCACCTAACCAAACATTTTTTTTAATCAAACATTATTCAATTGAAAAAAAAGTAGAAAATAAAAACATCCCGTTAGACTCGGGATATTTTCTTCTTTTTTCATTTTTCCAATCTTTTAAACACATCATTTAGTTTAGTCATCATAACGGATCATTTGATCTGGTCAAATGAGAATTTTTTTTGGATTTTTTGTCAGACGGCAATTTGTTTGTTTGTTTGTCTGGCTGTCTGTTTTATTTTCGAAATAAATGAATTCAAACCAAAATTTGTTTGTTGTATTTACAGCGAAAAACAGTTAAGAAGAAATGGCAAAATCATCAAGGCGACATACGTTCCTAAACGTGAAAATTGAAATTGTCACCCATTAAATTAATGAACATCAAGCATATAAATGAATGTATAGCACCATCATCATCATCATTATCATTTGGAAAAAAA